TATCCGCTCTCCCGGACCCCGCATTCACTATATCCGCTCTCCCCCCCGGACCCCGCATTCACTATATCCGCTCTCCCCGGACCCCGCATTCACTATATCCGCTCTCCCCGGACCCCGCATTCACTATATCCGCTCTCCCCGGACCCCTCATTCACTATATCCGCTCTCCCCGGACCCCGCATTCACTATATCCGCTCTCCCCGGACCCCGCATTCACTATATCCGCTCTCCCCGGACCCCCGCATTCACTATATCCGCTCTCCCCCGACCCCGCAGTCACTATATCCGCTCTCCCCGGACCCCGCATTCACTATATCCGCTCTCCCCCCGGACCCCCGCATTCACTATATCCGCTCTCCCCGGACCCCGCATTCACTGTATCCGCTCTCCTCCGGACCCCGCATTCACTGTATCCGCTCTCCCCGGACCTCGCATTCACTATATCCGCTCTCCCCGGACCCCGCATTCACTGTATCCGCTCTCTCTCCGGACCCCGCATTCACTATATCCGCTCTCCCCGGACCCCGCATTCACTATATCCGCTCTCCCCGGACCCCGCATTCACTATATCCGCTCTCCCCGGACCCCGCATTCACTATATCCGCTCTCCCCGGACCTCGCATTCACTATATCCGCTCTCCCCCCGGTACCCCGCATTCACTATATCTGCTCTCCCCGGACCCCTCATTCACTATATCCGCTCTCCCCGGACCCCGCATTCACTATATCCGCTCTCCCCGGACCCCGCATTCACTATATCCGCTCTCCCCGGACCCCGCATTCACTATATCCGCTCTCCCCGGACCCCGCATTCACTATATCCGCTCTCCCCCCGGACCCCGCATTCACTATATCCGCTCTCCCCGGACCCCGCATTCACTATATCTGCTCTCCCCGGACCCCGCAGTCACTATATCCGCTCTCCCCGGACCCCGTATTCACTATATCCGCTCCTCCCCGGACCCAGCATTCACTATATCCGCTCTCCCCGGATCCCGCATTCACTATATCCGCTCTCCCCGGACCCCGCATTCACTATATCCGCTCTCCCCGGACCCCGCATTCACTATATCCGCTCTCCCCGGACCCCGCATTCACTATATCCGCTCTCCCCGGGACCCCGCATTCACTATATCCGCTCTCCCCGGACCCCGCATTCAGTCACTATATATCCGCTCTCCCCGGACCCCGCATTCACTATATCCGCTCTCCCCGGACCCCGCATTCACTATATCCGCTCTCCCCCAGACCCCGCATTCACTATATCCGCTCTCCCCGGACTCCGCATTCACTATATCCGCTCTCCCCGGACCCCGCAGTCACTATATCCGCTCTCCCCGGACTCCGCATTCACTATATCCGCTCTCCCCGGACCCCGCATTCACTATATCCGCTCTCCCCGGACTCCGCATTCACTATATCCGCTCTCCCCGGACCCCGCAGTCACTATATCCGCTCTCCCCGGACCCCGCACTCACTATATCCGCTCTCCCCGGGACCCCGCACTCACTATATCTGCTCTCCCTGGACCCTGCATTCACTATATCCGCTCTCCCCGGACCCCGCATTCACTATATCCGCTCTCCCCCGGACCCCGCATTCACTATATCCGCTCTCCCCGGACCCCGCATTCACTATATCCGCTCTCCCCGGACCCTGCATTCACTATATCCGCTCTCCCTGGACCCCGCATTCACTATATCCGCTCTCCCCGGACCCCGCATTCACTATATCCGCTCTCCCCGGACCCCACATTCACTATATCCGCTCTCCCCGGACCCTGCATTCACTATATCCGCTCTCCCCGGACCCCGCAGTCACTATATCCGCTCTCCCTGGACCCTGCATTCACTATATCCGCTATATACATCCTCCTGTCAAATGATCCTCCACTGTGTCCACACCTCCGGCATTCCTATCTGTGAGGCTGCAGGGAATCGGGAAATGCTGCAGCCATAGTCCATGCAGGTTCACAATCCGGGAGATTCAGAAGACGAGGATAACAACAGCCAACCTCCTATAGATGATGAATGGAGGAAACAAAGGTCTCACCAGGAACACGGAGTCAGCACATGTGTGACTGGAGGGTCCATCGAGGGGTCGATTGTATGACATATTCACATCGATAAAACAGCTAAATGACCCCATTGTAGACCTTTAGGTGCCAAACCAAATCGGGGTCATTTGTTCCCATCCCTACCCTTAATCTAACCCTGACCCTGTTCCCAATAGCTAACCCCGCCTACACCCCAATGGTCCCTTCAAACCTCTCTGATCGATGTTTATAAACAATGTTACTCTGTATCTCTCTATCTCCCGTCTGATCGATGTTTATAAACAATGTTACTCTGTATCTCTCTATCTCCCGTCTGATCGATGAATATAAACAATGTTACTTTTTATCTCTCCATCTCCCGTCTGATCGATGTTTATAAACAATGTTACTTTGTATCTCTCCATCTCCCGTCTGATCGATGAATATAAACAATGTTACTTTTTATCTCTCCATCTCCCATCTGATCGATGTTTATAAACAATGTTACTTTGTATCTCTCCATCTCCCGTCTGATCGATGAATATAAACAATGTTACTTTTTATCTCTCCATCTCCCATCTGATCGATGTTTATAAACAATGTTACTTTGTATCTCTCTATCTCCCGTCTGATCGATGTTTATAAACAATGTTACTTTGTATCTTTATCTCCCGTCTGATCGATGTTTATAAACAATGTTACTTTGTATCTATCTCCCCGTCTGATCGATGTTTATAAACAATGTTACTTTGTATCTCTCTATCTCCCGTCTGATCGATGTTTATAAACAATGTTACTTTGTATCTCTCTATCTCCCGTCTGATCGATGTTTATAAACAATGTTACTTTGTATCTCTCTATCTCCCGTCTGATCGATGTTTATAAACAATGTTGTTACTTTGTATCTCTCTATCTCCCGTCTGATCGATGTTTATAAACAATGTTACTTTGTATCTCTCCATCTCTCGTGTGATCGATGTTTATAAACAATGTTACTTTGTATCTTTATCTCCCGTCTGATCGATGTTTATAAACAATGTTACTTTGTATCTCTCCATCTCCCGTCTGATCGATGTTTATAAACAATGTTACTTTGTGTCTCTCTATCTCCCGTCTGATCGATGTTTATAAACAATGTTACTTTGTATCTCTCTATCTCCCGTCTGATCGATGTTTATAAACAATGTTACTTTGTATCTCTCTATCTCCCGTCTGATCGATGTTTATAAACAATGTTACTTTGTATCTCTCTATCTCCCGTCTGATCGATGTTTTATAAACAATGTTACTTTGTATCTCTCTATCTCCCGTCTGATCGATGTTTATAAACAATGTTACTTTGTATCTCTCCATCTCTCGTGTGATTGTTTATAAACAATGTTACTTTGTATCTCTATCTCCCGTCTGATCGATGTTTATAAAACAATGTTACTTTGTATCCCTCCATCTCCCGTCTGATCGATGTTTATAAACAATGTTACTTTGTATCTCTCCATCCCCCGTCTGATCGATGTTTATAAACGATGTTACTTTGTATCTCTCTATCTCCCGTCTGATCGATGTTTATAAAACAATGTTACTTTGTATCTCCTATAAACACTGTGCCAGATAGTCTGTTTTGGCCAGCAGCAGCTTTTACAGCTCTGGGCCCCTTTCATACGGCTCCACTGTCATTTCCCTGCAGTGCGGGTTCAGCACAATGCACCCGCAGTTTTCTCCATCAGATAGGGATGTCCTCATTTGATGACGAAACGTGTTGGGTGCACACACACTGAGAACCAGCACAGCGTTGCTTTCTGGTTCCAGGATGTATGGCACATTTGGCATGTGGCAAGTTCGGCATTTGTTTTAAACTTTTTTTAATGTTTTTACATTGCGGAGGCTCTCCTTTCCTGTTCTTTGCCTCAGTTTGCTATCTTCTTGATCTGGTGAGTGACAGGTTTCCCAGGGTGCCATTCGATGGGCGGAGGCACTATGCATTAGGAGCGCCTTTGTGAGGAGATCCATTAAGTGCAGGGGGGGTGTCACTCATGTCTGGGGAGTGCGGTCAGAAGCCGGGGGGCACCCAGGGAGGGCACAGGGTTCTCGGATTTTGCAGTGGAGAAGATTGCACCGTTTTTGGGGGGGGTTTGGATTTGTTTGATTGGTTTGGACTTTATGATGCTTTTTTTTATTTTTATGATCTTTTTATGATGTCGCTGTGTGTGCGTTATTATGCGTTATTATGTTAGTAGTGGCGCGGCGTTCTTGCGTGACACACGTAATTGAACGGCACGCTACGTTGTGAATTATTTGATTTTATGAATATTTTCCATGCACCGTCCGCAGGTTTTATTCACTTATTTATTCATGGCCGCGCCGTAACTTTATTTGAACCTTCCTTTGAACTTCTGCGCATTCCTCGCGGCGCCGACCACTTACTATATAGTTGTTTTTAATCATTTTTTAGTATTTTTAACCCCTTCTTCCTCAGCTCCACTTAACTATTCTTTTCAGATTTTTTTCTGTTTATTTCTTTTTTTCTATTATTTGTTTTCTTCTTTAATTTTTTTTCATCTTAACCGCTTTCCCGATCGCAGATATATTGGGGTGCGCAAAATCACATATATATACATGAGTTTGCATCTCCGGGGAGGCAGTGCACGTGAGCCGCGTGCGCCCCCTACGCGCACCGCTATTCGCAGCCTCGGGTGTCAGTTGGCCGGTGATTACTTGCCGGGACCCGGTGATCACCAAGTATTGTTGTAAATAATTGTGGGGGAAAAAAGGACATAAATTTAATTTGGGTGCAGCGTTGCATGACCGTGCAATTGTCAGTTAAAGTATGTATGTAAACAATACAGATCTCTCACCTGTCAGCTCCAGCACACTGCTTTGTATGGCTCTGCATGGCAGTTTGTGTACAGTGGAGAGCACAGACACAGCACACAGCCTCATAGTAAGTCCTCACCAGGGGCGGGCTGACAACTCATGGGGCCCCTGGGCAATAGGGGATCATGGGGCCCCTGTGTCTTTGCCCAAACTCAAAAAAGCCTATGAAAAAGGTACCAGGGTCATCTCATGGGGCCCCCTACTGACCCCGGGCCCTCGTTTCCAAATGGTAAGTCCGCCCCTGGTCCTCACGCACACGGGATGTTTTTTACAGCAGCTGTTTTTGACTTTTGACGTTTTTTGACGTTTTTTCTTTTAAACTCCCCAGCATGTTAGCTTTTTTTTTTTCATAGCGCAAAACAATAAAAAACACTTGAAAGAAAGCTCAGTTTGTGGGAAAAAAAGGATGTAAAATTTCATTTGGGTGCAGTGTTGCATGACCGCGCAATTGCCAGTTAAAGTACGTATGTAAACAATACAGATCTCTCACCTGTCAGCTCCAGCACACTGCTTTGTATGGCTCTGCATGGCAGTGTGTGTACAGTGAAGAGCACAGACACAGCACACAGCCTCATAGTAGGTCCTCACGCACACGGGACGTTTTTTACAGCGGCTGTTTTTGGCTTTTCACATTTTTTTTACTTTTTTTCTCCATCCAGTAACCCCCCCCCCCCCCCCCCCCGGCATGTTCTCCTAGGTGTCCATACACACAGAGACTGGAATCAACGTTTTTTGGCTGAAAAAAAAACCCAGAACTAGCGGGCTTCTAGAGGAGATTTTAGCTGTAAAAATGCTCTAACGCTGAAAAACGCGGCAAACTGCGGTACAAACACCACAAACCGGCGTTTTGGACTTTTTGTTGACCAAAACAAAACAATTTTTTTGCAAAAAAATTTTAAAAAATGCAAACGCACAAAAACACGAGGAAACGCAGCTAAAGGCTAATGTAAAAACACAAAAAAAAGCTAAAAAAACCTCACGTTTTTAATGTGACCAGCGTTATCAAAATGCCCCCCCCCCCCCCCCGCCCCCCAGTGTGCATGGAGCCGGACTAGCGGGCTTGTAGAGAGTTTTTTAGCTGTAAAAATGCTGTAACGCTGAAAAACTCGTCAAAACGCTGTAAAACATGATAAATCGCGGCATACTGGCATTTTTGGACTTTTTTTTTTACCACAAATGGTGCTGAAAAACACAAATGCGGAAAAACGCAGGAAAATGCAGCAAAACGCGGCTAAACGCTAATGCAAAAATGCAAAAAAAAAGCTGAAAAACTCAGGTTTTTAAACAGCAAAACGCAGTAAATCATGGCTGTTTTTTGGATGTTTTTCTGACCAAAAAATTGGGGAGGGTAAGAAAACGCTAAAAAACACAAATGTGAAAAAACGCAGCAAAACGCTAATGTAAAAATGCTAAAAGACGTTTTTAATGTGACTGTGACTAACGTTACCAGTGTTTTTAAAACGCCCCCCCCCCCCCCCCCCCCCAAGTGTGCATGGAGCATCGAACAGCACACAGGTAACCCTTTGATCCCCCCAGATGTTAACCCCTTCCTGCCCAGTGCCATTAGTACAGTGTCTTTGCTTTTTATTAGCACTGATCCCTGTGTTGGTGTCACTGGGGAAGTCAGTGACACCAAGTCAGTCCCCCCCCCCCCCCCCCCCCCAGTGTCAAAATGTCCGCCGCAGTCCTGCTATAAGTCACTGATTGTCGCCATTCTTAGTAAAAAAAAAAAAAAAATTCCAGTATCTATACCGCCATTTGTAGACGCTATAACTGTCATGTCAACCAATTAATTTATACATATCGGGATTTATTTTTTTAGCGAAGACACGGAGCGGAATACATTTTGGGCGAAATTTACGGCGAAATTAGATTTTTTTATTTTTTTTACTGGACGTGTTTAATAGCAAAAAGTAAAAAATATTGTTTTTTTTTTCTCAAAATCATTATCAGCGCATACAGAAGTCACCAACTGTCTGCAGAGTCAATAGCTAAAGACCTCCAAACTTGGTGTGGCCTTCAGATGAGCCCAACAACAGTGTGTAGAGAGCTTCATGGAATGGGTTTCCATGGCCGAGCAGCTGCATCCAAGCCTTCCATCACCAAGTGCAATGCAAAGCGTCGGATGCCGTGGTGTAAAGCACGCCACCACTGGACTCTAGAGCAGGGGAGACGTGTTCTCTGGAGGGACCAATCATGCTTCTCTGTCTGGCAATCTGATGGACGTGTCTGGGTTTGGCGGTTGCCAGGAGAACGGTACTTGCCTGACTGCATAGTGCCAAGTGTAAAGTTTGGTGGAGGGGGGATTATGGTGTGGGGGTGTTTTTCAGGGGTTGGGCTTGGCCCCTAGTTCCAGTGAAGGGAACTCTTAAGGCGACATTTTGGACAACTTTGTGGGAGGAGTTTGGGGATGGCCCCTTCCTGTTCCAACATGACTGCCCACCAGTGCACAAAGCAAGGTCCATAAAGACATGGAGGAGCCAGTTTGGGGTGGAGGAACTTGACTGTCCTGCACAGAGTCCTGACCTCAACCCCATAGAACACCTTTGGGATGAATTAGAGCGGAGACTGCGAGCCAGGCCTCCTCCCCCGACATCAGTGCCTGACCTGACAAATGTGCTTCTGGAAGAATGGTCCAACCTTCCCATAGACACCCTCCTAAACCTTGTGGACGGCCTTCCCAGAAGAGTTGAAGCTGTTATAGCTGCAAAGGGCGGGGCCAACTCAATATTGAACCCTACGGACCAAGACTGGGGGGCCAATAAAGGTCATGTGTGTGGAAAGGGCGGGGGCCAACTCAATATTGAACCCTACGGACTAAGACTGGGGGGCCATTAAAGGTCATGTGCGTGGAAAGGGCGGGGCCAACTCAATACTGAACCCTACGAACTAAGACTGGGGGGCTATTAAAGGTCATGTGGGTGGAAAGGCCAGCCAACACAATACTTTGGGCAATATAGTGTATATACGGGGGGCGGGTACAATACTTGGGGCAATATATTGTATATACGGGGGGGGGGGAGGCGGGGACAATACTTGGGGCAATATTGTGTGTATATACGGGGGGGGGGGACAATACTTGGGGCAATATATTGTATATACGGGGGGGCGGGGACAATACTTGGGGCAATATAGTGTATATACAGGGGGCGGGGGACAATACTTGGGGCAATATAGTGTATATACGGGGGGCGGGGGACAATACTTGGGGCAATATAGTGTATATACAGGAGGCGGGGACAATACTTGTGGCAATATATTGTATATACGGGGGGGTGGGGACAATAATTGGGGGCAATATAGTGTATATACGGGGGGGGCGGGGACAATACTTGGGGCAATATAGTGTATATACGGGGGCGGGGGACAATACTTGGGGCAATATATTGTATATACGGGGGGCGCGGGGACAATACTTGGGGCAATATAGTGTATATACGGGGGGCGGGGACAATTCTTGGGGCAATATATGTATATACGGGGGGCGGGGACAATACTTGGGGCAATATATTGTATATACGGGGGGTGGGGACAATACTTGGGGCAATATATATTGTATATATGGGGGGGGCAGGGACAATACTTGGGGCAATATATTGTATATATGGGGGGGGGGCAGGGACAATACTTGGGGCAATATATTGTATATACGGGGGGTGGGGACAATACTTGGGGGCAATATCGTGTATATACGGGGGGGCGGGGACAATACTTGGGGCAATATCGTGTATATACGGGGGGCGGGGACAATACTTGGGGCAATATATTGCATACTTGTACAATTACTGACAGGTTCCCTTTAAGGAACGCCAGGAGTGACTCTCCCCGCCCTTCAGATACAAGTCACCTATGACAGCGGCTCACGGACTCATCTACACCCCCGATTACCGCAAAGTGACACCTAAAAAAACCCCGAAATGTCTGTAAATGACACCAAATCCATCATCTGACTTGTAAGAGAGGAGTCATTTCTGCTCCATAATTGATATTTTCCTAAATCTCTAATTTGGGCTCGGTGCTCCGGCGGTGCTCCGGGTGCTCCTCCTCCATCGGAGGGTAATTACACCTTCTATCTGATGCCATCAGTGTCTGTGAAACCCCCAGAGTTAGCCGTTGTCTCTCTCATCAGGTCCGGCACAGATGATTGATGCCGCAGTTACCTGAATGTGACACCCACCCCACAGTGCAGCCGCCCACCCCATCTTCCTGACAAGGACATCCTTACATGGCGAGCACTGGCCAATTTGTCAGACCCTGAAATGTTCACCGTGAACCGCCCCGCCCGCCTACGAAGACACTGAGCGATTTATCCGTCCTTTCACTCTCAGAGATGTCATAGTCTCATGGTACCCGGCGTGCGTTCAGGGGGTTGGAATTCTGAGCTATTGTTATCGGTAGGGATGAGCGAAACGGGCAAAGTTGGGTTTGCAGGAACTTTGAAGAACACGGCACCGCCATGGGGTACATACACTCACCGGCCATGGGGTACATACACTCACCGCCATGGGGTACATACTCACCGCCATGGGGTACATACACTCACCGCCATGGGGGGGTACATACACTCACCGCCATGGGGTACATACACTCACCGGCCATGGGGTTTAGCATACATACACTCACCGGCATGGGGTACATACACTCACCGGCCATGGGGTACATACACTCTCCCGGCCATGGGGGGTACATACACTCACCGGCCATGGGGTACATACACTCACCGGCCATGGGGTACATACACTCACCGGCCATGGGGGTACATACTCACGGCCACACCATGGGGTACATACACTCACCGGCCATGGGGTACATACACTCACCGGCCATGGGGTACATACACTCACCGACCATGGGGTACATACATCACCGCCATGGGGTACATACACTCACCCATGGGGTACATACACTCACCGGCATGGGGTACATACACGGCACCACCATGGGGTACATACACTCACCGGCCAAGGGGTACATACACTCACCAGCCATGGGGGGGGTACATACACTCACCATGCCACGGCACGGGGGTACATACACTCACCGACCATGGGGTACATACACTCACACGGCCATGGGGTACATACACTCACAGGCCATGGGGTACATACACTCACACTACACCACCATGCACGGGGT